AGCCGAAGCCATCGTACAAGGTGCATTTATCGCCCAAGCAACGTCAACGGTAAGAAGCAACGACACATCACGGACCATGAACTCAACGACTGACGTTACGTGTATGCGTATAGTGCACACAACACAAGCAAAGGGGTCCATCACAGTGTCGAATTGCGACCATGACATGGCGTTCAAGGATGGTATGACGCAGGTACATAATGAACATGAATATCATCGATTACTGCTTACTAATGGCGTCATAAACTGTGTGATAGCTCGTCTCGGTGGTTCGACGATTTCCAAGGCCAGTATCGGCGGCCCCGCCAAAAAAATGCGCGCACAGCGATGAGAAGCAGACGTCGAACAGAGCGTTTTTGTCGCGAAAGGTGAGTTAAGCAACGTCGTCGTGGCTATATGTTGTGGACTGTAGCATGGTGTTGACTACTTTTTTTACTTTCGTGAAATTTTCTTGATCCTTTCGGCTTGTAAAGTCCTTTGCTCGTAGCGTTCGGAGTGGCGGCATGTTAGTTGTGGCATTCCTCAGCCACCATAAATTCCATAAATCATACACTTTGCCATTTGTACATGTGTACTTTTCGTTTAGTATTGGTGGTGGAAGCAGCCAATTCGTCGATGTAGTTTCAGCATTACTGGTGGTTGGCGGCAGCGGCTGAGATATTCCTTCAGATAAAGTAGTATCTGGGGAATTCTGTCGCGCCATGTTTAGTAATAACTTCTCCCCAAACTGGAAAAGTGTACCATTGAGTTGCTCCATTTTCACTGATGCTGTGTTATGGTTGGTAGAGTCCAAGACATTGCGAAGTTGGAGAGGGATAGATTTAAACCCGTCGTCAACATGTTGAGCCAACTTCCCCAAGTTGGTTTGGACAACTCGCAATTGCTGGTACAACGGGACGTGTGGTGGGATGCCAGTCGCCGTCATGTTGGTGATGGGATTGTACAAGGTACCACCGTGAAGGCCAGCTGCAAGGGCTGTCAGCGACCCGGACAACCACACAGGGGACAGAAACAAGGGGTGGCTGTGGTGGAGAGTACTCTTCAACCATGCGTGGTGGTGGACCAACGACGCCAGCAGATATGGGACGGCCGATCGAAACGTAGCCGGATAAAGCGATGAGTATCCCGGCAAGTTTGACTCCCACTGTGCTGGACTGAGCGAGATCGATGGCCCAAAATGTGGTGGAAGCGCTCCAAACTCGACATCGTTAACATTGAGTCCTAATATATTTATTATACTTCAAAAATGAAAACGAAAAATATATATTTAAGAGAAATACCAGTTGCAACTCTGCCAACAAATTGATCGCCTCCAGATCCTTCAAATATGTATCGTCCTTGGACCCCACCGAGGCTCCAACCAGCTCGCAGCCAGACCATAACTGCTTGTGGGCCACCAGGACTGTTGGACAGTGCACTTGCGACACCTTTACGAAACGAATGCGTACCAATGTCCGAGATGGACAGTCCGAGGCCAGCAATGTCGTCGGCATTTGCTGCGCATGTCTTCGCGAGCCAAGCCGAAAACCGATCCTTTGCATTGTAGCCAAACAGAAGCGTCGGGGACTCAGGCACTTGCGCTCCGCGAGTAAACAACAAGACACCCAAACTAGATGACAAACATTTCAACAAATATTAGATATATATATTACGAACCTTAAAATGGGGCAAATAGCAGGATGCGACGGATTCGCATATACATGTCTGGGGTATGACATGCGCCCTTCTGGGTCGTTCTTCATAAGACCAAAGCTGATTTGGAGGGCGTCATCTAATAACCAAATCAATAATGTATTGAAGAGTATATTGCAACCTTTCCATGTAATGTGTTCGTATCTTATTGACGACGTTGACACAGCCCGCGCCATCAAGTTCCAACACAGCAGCAGAAATGAATGCGCCGTGACGTACAAGGAGTAATCGCACTCCGTCGCAACAGCCACAGACGCCAAATAGGAATAACCTGTAATATATATAAATATATATTCAAATCTGTATAAAATAGAAACATTTATAGAATACCTCCAAATGACAGCGGTGATTTCCCCTCAGTTATTGGTGCCTCCCCACTCTCTTTCAGCTGCGCGAACTTCCGTCTGTAGCCGCTGACATACTCTAATTTCGTATATTAGTGAATATAATGAATATATTTCTACCTTTCATCATAGCATTCAATTCAGTGGAGACTGCAACCTTGGCCTCTCGGTGCAGTAACACGACTGCGCTTTTGACACGGTTAATCGTGGAAACTGAGTTGTACTTCCGGGGTACAAGCTCCATTCCATTCAAACTTCGTTTAACTGATGCATACGAAAACATCAACTTGCACAGGGCTGGTGTTACAGGGACGACTACGCCTTGTGCTGTGACGTACTGTGGATGCTCGACATGCAGCCATCGGACCATGCGTGCGAGAATCGACTCGTACTGCGACCTGGTGTATTCAACAATCCGGAGGGCGATTACATCGTCCGCCGTCTCTATAGCATTGTTGGAGGTTGGTTGGCGTTGGCCACGGCCCATGGTTGGCGTACGTTCGTTTCGACTCTGAATCCTTCCATGGTTGTTTAGTATGCTTTTAGTATTATTATGCCCTTAACTAGTACTATTGTTTCGTGAATGTTTCGTAAAACGATGGTATTTTTCTATACTTGAAGCTGCATACAAAATCCAGCATAAAGGAAAACCTATACCTCCGTTTTACGAAACAAAACTGTTTCGTGACACCATTGAAATTGTTTCGTATTTGTTTCGTAAACCGTGTATATCTTTACATACAAAAGTCAGGTCAAAGAATCGATCGATACAGGAAGTGCGTTCGTCTACGTTTGACATATATTGTGCATTTGATTGAAGGAAATGCTATGCTTCGTGCTACCAACAACACAACCCGAAACCCGGTGCAGGTACAGCGTGCGCATCATCACTCCCAACGTGAGAGTGCAAATAATTATCATCATCCTCTCCAGACTCGTCTATAACCATTTCTAGTTTAATCGATATGTATACATGATTGATGTAATCATACTGTAGATATGTGTACTTTGTGTGGATTCGCTTCTAGTACGAATGACGGGTGAGAGTTTTGTCGTTCGGTAAGGGCCACTTCCAAGTACCATTTTTATTTAAACTCAAAAATCAATGGTGTTAATTTTTCATAGAAATTTCGTCGTGACTATGTCGCATTTTGTGGTTTCATGCCATTGACTAAAATTTGTTGGTGGAGGTTTCGTCGTCATTTCCAGGCATATTTTGGCGTCGTTATTCCACGGATGACAACACTTGATTGGACAAAAATGCCCAATCAATATCGATTAACCGATTTCACACTGCATCACCCACCCGCACTGCTTGCAACCGCACGTACACCAAGCACCGCACACACAACTTTGATGGCAGCAAGCACCAAATCCAAGATACTGACAAAGAAGGAGTTGATCGAGCGACTGGCCCGTTTGGAAGCGGCGGGACAAGTGTCGAATCAGGAATCCTCGTCCAGTCCCAACGTGCCACTCCCAGACAAGGAGACGCTGTGGACTGTGGACATGGTGCAGGTCCTTCTCGAGTTGCGTCTCCGTACTTATGGTCCACCCTTCAAAAGCTCCAAGAGCAACCAACAGTTGTCGATCTTGTGGCAGAAGATTGCTATGCGTTTGAGCTTTGTCACGGGGGTCGTTGTGTCGCAGACATCTGCGAAGGCGAAGTATCACAGCCTCAAACAAGAGTACTCTCGTAGCCGTGTGGCCGAGCAAGCTACGGGCAACAACGCAGACGTAGGTGTGGAGTATCCTGCGTATTGGGAGCACATGATTGGGTACCTCGGCAACAAAAACGGTCTTGGCCACAACGAATTTGAATCAAGCGGTGACGGCATGGAAAACGCAATGGTTGCGAACGATGGTGACTCGTGGGCGGAGCCCGTTATCGTTGCCGCGGACGATCGTCCATCCAAGCGACAAAAACCCGGTTCGTCCAGCGTCGCGAATGGGCTTATCTCTTTGGGGGAAACCTTGGCGAAAGGGTTAGTTGATGCTGCTACTGTTAGTGGGGGAAATGCTTCGACGATCCAGAAATTAGATTTACTCGTAGAGTCAGTGGATGAGTCGAAAAAGATACATGCTGCCTTGTTGGAGAGCATTGTGAATAACAATGCTATCCATCGTGAATTGTTGGATTATCTTCGCGGAATTAACCGTCCATAATATGAAGTCATTTGGAAAAACTATTTTGATACACAATTATTTATGTAATCTTTCAGGGCATTTCTGGCGTTGATTGCTTGTTGCCCGTCCACTAAATTCCTCTGGCTCAATCGAGTGATGTCTCCACCAATATGCATCCACTCCGCATACATCGCGCACTCATCCTCTGAATCAGAGTCGCTTTCGTATGTTGTAGTTGTCTCTCAGTCGATAATCCAATTGTGCAGCACCGTTGTGGTTTTGATAACTCGGGCCATTTCTACAGGATAATAATGAATAGATTAGCAAGGTCATAACTGCATAAAATACCCTCGGGGTTGTGGTGGTCCAGGGGACTCTTGAATATCCTGAACTTATTCTTCCACCGTCCAAATGCCCTTTCAACTGACGTCCTTGTGCGACTGTGGATGTAATTATAGTGCACCTCCCGTGTCGGATTTCGAACGGAGTCATCATGTGCTTGAATATCTTGTACCCTGCATCACAAGGAAGAATGTCCCCGGCGGAATTATCTACTCGCAGAGTAGTAATGCGCTCAATTGAATTACTTCAATATGTCATATGAATTACTCCACACCTGGTGGGATACCATTCCAAATTTGGATCGATTGAACAGCGATTTATCATTTTGAGACCCCGATCAAATCGAAAATGACATGAACCGCAGCTTGTGATCAACCACGCCTAATATTATTTTTTGGACTTAATATATAATAAATAATACCTTGAATGTTGAACGCTGGAAATCCTTTACGACAATACCAGCTCTCGTAGTCTTCAAATCGTTTGATTGAGATGAGGCTCCCGTCAATCACACCAACAACGTTTGGATTGCCGCCAAGCCGTTCGAATCCACACGCAACGTCCATCCAGGCTGCTATGGACGTTGGCAAGGCCACCGTTTCCATGAGGTACGTTTCTATGACTTTCATGACCTGACCCACATAACAGTACGAGCGGGTCGAGCTGATGCCAAACACTTGGCCAGAGGACGCGTATCCGTCGTTGTGCGTCAAGTAGTGCATGGTCACCGCAACGCGGTCGACGATACCAAACACGGTGTTGTGGAGGAGCGGTGTGTGGCACGTAAGACAACGAGACGACACACGTGACGCGATGCTGTGGAAGGTCTGCCTGGTACAACGCAAGTGGCGAACGAACCATCCGTCATGGTGTACAGACGCTTGTACGCGTTCTGTAGCGATGTGACAGGTGGGGGTTAACGGCTTGCCACCACCTTGCCCGCACCCAGCTCCTAAGTACCTGGCTCATGACGAACCCTAGCTAATGCTTGCCTGGGAATGTGTCTCAAGGGCAAGTATGGCTTAGAATCGCTAGCCTAGTGAAGTTCCCCAATGTCTCAACCGCACCCGCATCCATTGTATACAAAAATGCATATTAGTGTAGAAGTAGTGAAGTAGACTAATAAGATTTCATAGTGATGAGGATTAAGGAGATCTTTGTAGATCTTCAGTTAATTCATTGTGCATTTTGCCCTCAACTACACACGCTTCCTCCCGAAGTGCTACACGTTCCCAGGTGTCGGATCGGAGGACAAATTGGTTTGATCGAGGTGTAGACCGCATCATTTCAGCGACTGCTTGGGCTGCAGCAATTGCAGCAACTACAGTCACCATGTGCCCTGCGTTCATGGAGGGTAACACGGGTTGACTGATTTGTGTCCAGCAATTTTAATACCACTACTTGGAATGCGCATTTAACCAAAACACGACCAAAGCATGACTATTTCTCGTACTTCAAATAATGGATTTCTAAGTACGACGGAAACGATTGTGATTGGCTCCGTTCGTTTTGAAAAGTTACTTGGAAGAGGCCCTAAACAGCGCATCCATTTCGTTGTAAAATGGGCATATCGTTTCCAATTTGCTTTCAATTGAAAATATACAGTATCTACTCGATTGCAGGTATGAGAGTAATATTAATGGTATATATGTATACTTTGCTTATAGTCCGTGTCAGTCAAATCATGACCACTTTTGCTCTTTGAACTCCACTTCAGTGCGCGTCTGTACGAGGCCGCGTTTATTCCTACATTGTAAGAGACACATACATTACAATTCAACACACGCTGGGGAGCACCTCGATTTGGCGTCTTGTATGGCCGCTGATGCCCGCCGCGCGGTTGACGAACTCTGCAAATTTCTGCCCGGCAGCTTGGCCAGTCATAAGTGCAAAGTTGGATGGCACCCGAAGGATTTCAAGCATCACCAGGCGTTCGAGTTTTCCTGCGCAATGAGGGGAGGGGACTGGTGTATTGTTACCGCCAGTCGTTGATTATTGTGTAGCGCTTGTAGGCGTCAGAGTTCCATCGGCCAAAGAGCTGGATGACTAGTTCAGAGGCGCTGCCACGGAAGAGAGCTGTTGCGCCGCCATTTCGGTGGGAGGGTGTGGAGTATTTTGAATCGTCCAGGCCAATCACTGGCCGCTCGCTTCCTTCGGGCGTGGTGAGATGACATCTGATTTGATCGCGTGTCCACGCGATGTGCAACATATTGGGTCGTCTGATGAGGCCCCGATTGATTGAGCGTTGTCAATGAGGGTCCAGGCGTAGCTACAGGGCACAACCACGCAACGTCTGACTTTGCTAGATCAAGGGCCACAACGTTAGAGTGTTGGTCGGTCTTGGATGTCGTCGTAGTTTCGACTTGCCCGTCCGACGTTGTCGAGTAATGTAACGTTGCCGAGGCGGGTGGCGACGGCGTATCCAAAGGTCAGTGCCTGCCTCCACCTCGGCAACGTCTACGATGGGGAGAGTGCATGTCTCAAGTGGGATGGAATCGCGAGCGTACGTAACTGTAGCTACTAAAATTAGATCTGCTCAGTATTGAGTACTCATTGAGCTGTTTGTTCGCTGTTACTCCTCCAGGGGTGTGTGATTAAATAGTCAAGAATTTGCTAACTTCGTTTATACTTGGCACGCGTGGAATATCATTATGGGCCCTTTGTATGGACAAGTTCAAAAGCATCTAATCTTGACTAAGGTAGGAATTATCTCACTACTCCACGCATTAACATGGTGGTTCTGAGTACCATAATTTATCGGCATCCTTTAAACAATTCTATTCTAATTCAGCGTAACTAATATAATATCACACCAATGTTCTGTACACAATGGAGTCCCAAACTATTGTACTTGCAAATAGTATGCGGCACAAAATACGAAATATACAAATGTATTATCGACCAATTTAGCTAACCAGCAACATGATATATCAGGCAACGTGCAAACGACGGCGACGGCCGCGAACCTGATAATGGTGCTGGTCTTCAGCATCTGTACGTCTACTACGGTTTGTCAGTCGCCGTGGATGTGTGCTCATCCCTGGACGTCTGATACCGACTTCGTTGGATACGGCCAACACATGGCTGCAAATGGCGCCACGATTCCAAAGCAGACAATTGCACCGCAAGGCAGTTGGGTTTTGGGTTCGAACAATGATCCATCCACTCACAGGTTGTTCGTGCAATTCGATCAGAGCAAGGTTCCTTGCAAGCGGCGCCTGCCCAGGAGGAAGGCCGCCCTTGTGCATCACCTGTGAGTGCGACATGCCAACGCTCAGGGACTTGACGTGGCACGGCACGAACGGTGAGAGCGCCACACGTGATAGCAGTCGGTTGAAGTGGGACTTCATTCGGATGGAAACAGTTGGCTTCTTTGCCCGTGGTTTTTCGAGCTCGGACTCAAACTTGACAACTTTCACAATATCTTGCATATGGTGTGGGACATGGAGCTTGGTTCGGCCAATAGACTACAGATGAGGTTATAAAGTGTACTACTCTGGTCCATAATGATGGTCCCATTTGACTTTTCATTGGCGGTATTTTTCTAATATTGCTTGTATTCAGAATCTTATTGGCTCGTTGGAAAGCTGCAAATCACAGCTTTGATTGGCTGTATTTTGACGGCACAAATTCATCTTTTTACCGGAGTTACGTCGGTACGAAGTGCGTGCCTCAACTACCCGGCACACGCAACGACCCGCTGAGGGGTCAAAAGAGAGTTTGACGCTTGGAGCCGAATATGTTTTCTATTCTAAACAACATAACGATGCTAACCATCTCTCTGTCGCGAGCACTACAGGTCAATAGCCCTCATCGGTCCTTGCGGAAGCTCAGCGACGAGTAGCATCATGCAGGCTTCACGACGTTACTGTGGCGAAGAGTAGACAGCCAGCCATCCCATAGGGTTCATATAACAACTCTATGAATGATTGAAATGTCTTTCAAGACAGCACGACTCGTGTGGGCCCGTGGACAAACCTCACATCTCCATGTCGGCGCGGCGGCGGACGTCCCATTCAAATTCGATGGTTAAACCCTCTAAAACTTAATGATATCCAAAATATCATTATTTCAGAGAGTTATCACGTTCTAAAGGTGTATGATATAAGGAAAATTTACCCTTAAACAAGGGTATCAGATATACTTGTTGATGCTGTAGAAGCTCATTTAACGAGCTGCCTTGGGAATCCATCACAGTATATTGTTTAATTATGGAGATCCTTGAATTCACGGCAATTAGTGATAAGTTCATGCAATCTCCTTGACTAAATGATTTCGAATTCCCTGGAAAAGTACAATATCACAATATAATAAAATGTCATTATATTTTTGAGAGTGAATATGTAATCTGAAAGGTCCTTACAAACATCAAGATGATTTCAGCCACGGCACCATACTTTAAATAAGATAAAATATAGGGACTATCATTATGGACCAGAGTAGTAGTATGATAATTGTCGTACGGCTTTCAACAGTTGAAGTACTCGGTGGGATTGTTGGTGTACGAGCTGCCTGGTAGACTGTGGTACACTTGCCACTTCCAAAAGCGGACATCGTCAGGTCCACCGTACACACGGTTGTACGGCAGCCATTGGCTGAATAAGTAGTGCCGAAACTTCCGGAGGCCCCGGCTCGTCACCCACTTGTCCTACACCACGGTGTGGATAATGACACGTGTAATGATGTTGTCTACGATGACAATGTTATGCATTCATTGTCATCCATAGGCTTTACGACGCTTGAGTCGTGGATCGATACAAAACGACTTGCGAAGATAAACCCCGCGTCAAGACCTTGTGCCATATCGACACGACCTTTTCGACTAACAAGTCACGGTACCCTGTATTCGTATTTGGGTACTCTGATATGGCTGGCTTGTTCCAAGTGCTCTGTATTTGCATCACATCACAAAGAACTTATGACGACGTGGCCTGACTGTTAAAGTCACTGAAGGAAGAATTTCAAGACCAACTCAACTTTGCGTGTAAGTCACGATTGCTCATGGGTGACGCCGATAAGGCGCAGCACCTCGGAATGACGACAGCCGTGGACCAGCAGCTGTCAGAGATAGAATATCTCATGTGCTTTTACCGCGTCATCAAAAAGGTATGTCTGATATAAATAGCTTATGACTCACCTATGCATGATATCATTGCATACGACTCACCTTGTATACAGTGCTATGAAAAGGATGCTGACTGTGAGTTGACGAACGAAGAATGGCGAGATGTCTCATTCTACATCTATTTGCTGCATATGTCGGCAAGTCATGTGGACATGGGCGACTTAATGGAGGCATTGAAATATCGTACCGACTTGAAACGACTGCAGGCCACCATTACCTACGCGGGGCTTGTCATCAACTTTTTCCACGCCGAATACGAAAGCGTGATGGACTTCTTGATCTTCTTGTGCGGTTGGCAGAACCCAATGTTGCAGCGCTTCTTCAACAGCCGGCACATCACTTTTGTGGTGCAACTCCTTGGTTCGGACGTAGTTGATGGATTGTTGCACTTGCCGGAGAGAAGGACACGGTGCATCACCATAATTGCCCGACTGAAAGTGTACGCGCAGCACCTTGGACAGGGTCTTCGGCATACACTTGGGGTCTTCGCCGATCCGTTACCGCAGGTGTGTTCAACTTTGGCTGGTGCACCTAGCGTAAGGTGATTCATGTAATTCCCGGCCAGCTTGGCCTACTTTCTGAGTGCCATAACTCGACACCCATTCATCCGATGAGGCTGCAAAAACATTCATTTTGAAGATCATGACGAGCTTTATAACTTTATGCAGGTCCCATCATTTGTATCGCATGGTCAATTTGCTCGTCGAATTTCTAAAATTGAAATTTCCCTGTGTGAATTTAATTCCCGGCCAGTAAATCACTTGAATAATGTATACCTGATTTGGGTGACAAAATCCTCAGAACCTCTTAATAATGATATGTATAAAGTATTCAAAGTAATTAAATTTAGAAGTGCAACTAATATAAAAACTGTATTCATACTGCGATTTCATTTGATGAGGCTGTGCAAGGCGTGTGTCGTGCTCATCAACATGAACCAATGTGTATGCTTCACTGTTAGAGTGTGATACACCAAAGCGAGGTAGTGTAAGTCGGAACGAGGGAAACTCGGCACTTGGTAGCGTATGTAAGTGGCGAAACGCGGTCATGGGTGCAATGATGATATTGGACATGTAGAGTTTCATTTGAATAATTTGAGGATAATTCAATCGTTACATTGAAGATTAGTATACTTATGGAGTAGCAAAATCTAAAAAACTACCCAACAGTTACGTAAATGAGTTAAATAAGATACGTTAAGTTACATGTGTATTTCTGTTGTACGAAACCGTACAATTAACGTTCCCCGGTGAACTTAATCATATTGCATACTTTCGAAGTATCAAATTATAAAATACTACCTGGTCGTTTCACACTTGGCCATTCTGTCAACATGGACGATGATGTCGCTCCACAACCTTGTGTTTGGCGATGGCCATGAATGCGTCCCGTTCAAGATAGGAGAAGGCTACTCCGGAGCAAAACGCAACCTGAAGAAATGTTTCGTGTGCGTTGGTAACACGAACAGGGGAACTACCAAATACTGTTCTATTTGTATGGTGCATATCTGTGCCACAAACAGGGAACCCACAGCCCTCACGTGCTGGAAGCTGCTGCACACCCCTGAAATTCAACAAGCGATTGTGGCAGAAAGGCAAGCGCGTCTTGGCTTTGAAGAAGAAAGTCAAACTGCGAGCCACTAAGTACAAAGAAACTAAAAATGATTGATTCTCCATAACATATACTGTAGCTTGCTTACTTCCGGCACACATACTGCACTACAGAACTGTATTGGCCAGCGCAACGACCCATTGTGCTTCCTCAGATTCGCACTACAATATTGAGCACATCCAGGGCACACATACAGTACACTTCACACATGTATTACATTAAAGAACTACCTCTGGCCAGTTCGACGAGCCATTGTACTGCCACACATTAGCACTACAACATGAGTTATTGACAGGGATGTTGTGGCCCCTTGGAGCCATCCATTTCGAGCACATCCAGGCCACACATACCGTACACTTCACACATATATTACATGAAAGAACTAGATCAGGTCAGTTGAACGAGTCCTTGTGCTGCCACAGATTCACTCTACAGTCTGAGTTGTGGGCATGGATGTTCATTCCAATCGTATGCACATTTATTCTACTGTATCCCTTGCCACCATCCGATTATTGATTACTAGTACCCCAGACTACGTACGGCTGTATTGTACTAGTACGTACCAATGATTAAGATGAAATGTAATTCCCTCTTTAAGGACCTTGATGGGCAGCCACATCACTCCAGACTCTACCTCAACACATGAGTGGACAGGCGGCGTATGTTCTGTGGTTTTCAGTAAATCTTATGTGGCAGGAATATGAACCTTTGCCTCGAAAACTTCGCCGTGTCAGACCAAGTATTTGTCGACATCTGCACCATCTGCATCACTCAGTACGGGGAAACAATCGAAGTTTATGACTCGACAAGCCGTCTCATCGACAAGGTCATTCAAGTCGCCGGCGACAATGGGTTCCTAATCATGACCAACTTCACTTCCCCCGAGTTTGAAGTTCTTTGGAACGTCGTCCAAGTACCGTTGACGTCGCGATGGACTGATTAACGCGGCTCCAAGTGGAAGACAAGCAGCAAGGACGCGCATTTTATGACCTTGCGACAGAACTACCAATCGTGGGGTAAACACGCTGTTGACTTTGGTTTTCGTGCACCGACGTTTCAAAAGCTCGTGCTCCGTGTTGTGGTCGTCGTCGAACTTGTCACGAGACGCTTTGTAAAAACGCCCCCTATTTCCGAATTGCGATCGAGGAGCACCGTGATTCAACACTAATCCTACGCCTGGTACGTAATTGATGTCAAGTTCCAACCTACCGAACGACCTGGTGGCCGTCATGGCGAATCGAAGCTTTACTTCAGTGGCAATCACAAGCTGTACTGCTTGAAGACTGAAGCGTTCGTGCCTCCAGAGGGCCTTTTAGTCCACATGAGCGACTATCGGTTTGGGATTGGTCGCGGACTTAACCATTCTACGCAATCGCATCCAAGTTCACCGCGAAGATCTCAAGAAAACCGAAGCAGAGTTGAGCATTGTTGACCATAGCGAAGAAGTCAATACCTATCGTACGATGTGGGCGTTTTTGGTCGACAAGGGATACTATGGTGTCATGTCGGACTTGTGTGTGGTGCACGCAAAGAAAAATCCCCGAGAAGAGTGCTTAGCCGTGAAGATGTCGACTGCAATTGCCAAGTTTCGTCGGACCGTGTCCTCGTCGAGAATTTTTTTGGTCGGGTGTGCTTGCTATGGAAGGTGTCCTATGCGACGTTTACTTCGGGTCACAGTGCTACAATACCATTCAGCGATTGACCTTTGCCATGGCCAACTTTCAGTGCCCCCCTCCTTCCATTGCGAGCCGACAATCGGATGTGCTATCGTACGATTTTGGCGAGGTATAAATCCATGGCTCAGTCTACTGCAGAACGTCGAGCCGAGGTGCAGCAGTATGTAATAAAATGAAATAAACATGAATTCGATGTTCTAGAAAATGCGTACCGGCCTTTCGGACCCCATGCTAATCCTTCACCCCTCTCACTCAAGTGCTACTCGCAACCGTCATCCAGCATTTCAGATTAATTTGCAAACCAGATTATCCGTTGCACCACGATTGCATCGCGGAGGTATCCTCATGCTGAAAGTATATGCAAACCAAAGGTATCAGCCATTGCAATTGTCCGTGAGTTCGATCCCAGCTACTGATATTAGTCTTTTTGGAGTCTTAATAACAACTCATGAGTTACCCACAAACTACCTATATTTTGACATATTTTGGAAATTCGGTCGTTTCATGGAAATTCGACTTGGTATCTATCTATCAGTCCATTACCATTCGCGAAGTTGAAGTGTTTTTTTCCAAGATATTAGAGACGTTTAGCAAGTCCGAAATGTCAGAATTTTCCAGACTCTCTACTTCCTTCGATTTGATTGGAGTCTGAAGTCAGAAGTCTGACGAATTCCAGTTTAGCAAGTATACAAGCTGTAGAATACAGACTTGGCCACGTAATCGAATGCATGACATTTACAAATATGCACCCTCAGCAGCACGGCTTCCTCCAACGCTCTCACATGTCGCTCCGTCTCAAGCTCGCCCTGTTGCGTCGTAGTCCCCCAACCTCCCAGTTAACCATACCCAATGTGACATTCACTTTGGACTCGTACTCCGATGCCGATTGTGTTGAGAAGTTTCGGTTTTCGAAGACGACGCTAAGGAACCTAGTCGTCTTTCTACGTATCCCTCACCGCATCACCACCGTCGAGCGAACTGCCTGCACTGGTGTCGAAGCTTTGTGTATCCTGCTGCGCCGCTTTGCTGTTCCTGACCGCTGGTCTGATTTGATGGCGATGTTTGGGCGATCACGAAGTGGACTGTGCAACATTTTCCTCCATGTTTTGGACCATATATACGCGCAATTTGCCGAGGTCATATTTTTGGACCGTGATC